CTCCTCTGACTAGTTGTCATTCCTGCCCAAAATATGTCTTGCAAATATGCATCTACCCAGTGTGCACGCAATCTGTACATCCTCGTCAGCCAACTATCTACACTCTCATCTATATTAAATTTCTCCTTCAAAATCTTCCAACGTTCCTCACAATTGTGAATAGTGCTAGCTCGGTACCACTTATCAAAATATGTAAAAAAACTCATCTCCATATTGTGCTTTCATTGAAAGTTGCTGCTCGGCAATATGTCTGCCAATATGCCAAGAACAAAAATAGTGTCGGGTATTAGGAAAAACTTGTTTGATAGCTCCTCCTATTTGTGCATCTTGATCAGTGATAATTACTTTAGGTCTAACTCCATGCATGCATTTTAGCCATTGGGTGAACAACCAAATAAAGGTATCCTCTTGCTCATCTGCAAGTAACGCACAACCAAAGAGAATGGATTGCCAATGATGATTTACACCTGTGAATGTAGCAAACGGTATGCTCAAATGATTAGTTTTATATGTGACGTCGAACACTACTACATCTCCAAAACTTAAGTAAGAAGATCTTGATCTCCCATCAGCCCAAAACACGCTCCTCATACATCTCCAAAACTTAAGTAAGAAGATCTTGATCTCCCATCAGCCCAAAACACGCTCCTCATAGTCCCTGACTGATCCAGCTCTATGGAAAAAAGATCTTGATCTCCCATCAGCCCAAAACACGCTCCTCATAGTCCCTGACTGATCCAGCTCTATGGAAAAGTAAAATTCTGGATCGATTTCCTTCCTATCTTGAAATATTTTTATGATGGATATGCATTCATTGCCAATGTTGTTCTTCATAATAGTTCTGATGTGATCAATACATTGTTGTGCAGTAATATATTCTTCATCAAGACTCTTAGATACAACATTATACACTCGAGCAATAGTAGAAGGAGCCATTCCTTCTTCATTCAAATTCTCAATAATTCTCTTGCAAGTCTTCGAGAGATGACTTTGCTTGTGGGAATAATGATTAAACACTTTATCAGGGCTCGATAATAGATGGGTTGGGTGTTCTCCCTCAAACTTTGTGACAATCCATGTCTTGGAGGAAGTCAACTTAATCTTCATTCTTGCGGGACAATCCACTCTAGTATCTGGACGGCGATTGACAAGTTTCCCACACTCTCTCTTATCTGATAACCTTTTTCTCCCTGCCTTGTTGCAAACAAAAACTTGAGAAATAATTTCTCCTGACTTTCTTGACTTATCAGCTGTTTCCTTGCGGATTCCAAAACCCATTTTTTGGCATAAGAATTGTAATAGTTGTATGCCTCCTCCAATGTAGCAAATTCTTTTCCCTCGTATGGCGCCTCTCCTATGAAAGTCATCTCATTCGGGCCTACAAGAGCTGTATGCAATTCAACATCAACATCCATGAGATTTTGGGTATCATTTTCACTTAGTCCAATGGGTAGCACATCATCTGTTTCAACATTCATTATCCTCTCGTAGCCCTGAAACAATTATCAATGTGTTACAAACTTTGAGAAATTATATTCTGCAGTTCTCAGTTTCTTTCAGTTGGTTAACCTTTTAATTCTGCAAATAGAGATGTTTATTCTTCAGTTTTATGTATTAAATTTCTAATATGACTCAGTTTTATGTTTTAAATTTCTAATATGACCAGGTTGTCTGACATTGCTGAGTTAGTAATTAGACCTTTGAATCTAAATTCCACTAAACTAAACATCTTACACTTCAATATTATCTGCTTTCCTTGGTTCCCTTCGTTTTATTATTGTTTAATCAATCTGTATATGATATTTCCAAGGGAAAAAGAATATTTTAGTGCTAACAGAATGTATGACTTTATAATATCATCTCAAGCATACCGACAAAGAGCACAGAATTTGGAATAAGATTCATTCCAATTAAATTTAAAAGCTATTTAGAAGGGACCAATGCAAAAGGAGACCATTATCATTACACATTTAAAAGCTACTTCTCTTTCGTATTTATCTATTTTCCCCTTCAAAATTATGATGAGCAGTAGACTTCCCTACCTTGGAATGACTATGCTAATGAGCTAGGCAACTAACCTGCCTGATTAATCAAGTATCCAAGTATTCACATAGCCAATCAATGGCTTAAAGGAGGGGGCTGTCGACGGGAGAAATCACGGCGTCGACCTCGGTCTTGACAGCGAGAGGTGGGAGGAGGAGGCGACATTGGTCTCGACAGCGGGAGGCGGTAGGAGGAGGGGGCTGTCGACGGGAGAAATCACGCCGTCGGCGTCGGTCTTCGACGTGTCAGTGTTCGGCCGGGAAGATTGTCGCTGGGAGGAGGGGATTTGGAAATAAATCACGATGGGAGAAGGGGATTTGGAAATTTTGGAAATAAATCACGGAGGAGGGGATTTGGAAATTTTGGAAATAAATCACGATGGGATTTGGAAATAAATCACGTAGGACGGTTTTGATCAGATATGGGCTTATTTGCAAAATTCCCTTTGATCGCCTACACCCATTCGAATCAGATCTGTGGCTCAGATCTGGCCACATCAGCTCCATAGGAGGAAATCTCCTCCTATGTCAATGACCTCCATTAATCTCATATATATATATATATATATATATATTATATATATATATTATATATATATAATATATATATATATTATATATATATATATATAATATATATATATATATATATATATTATATATATATATATATATATATATATATATATATATATATATATAATATATATATATATATAGATTAATGGGTATCCTTGTCATAGGAGGGGATTTCCTCATTGACGCCTCTAAAATCACATGATTGAGCGACATTATGGATGATCCGCTCCGTTGAACTTGATCTACACATTCTAAAACCCAACACCAAGTTGGGTGTGAATCCGTCGTCGTTTGACCTCCATCGAGCCATGTGAAAAGTTCTATTCATTCAAAACCGTTAAATTAATACGAGTGGATGAAGGGTCAAACGACGACGGTTTCACCCAAACTTGGTGTGTTGGAGTTTTTAGAATATGTAGATCAAGTTCAACGGAGCGGATCATCCACAATGTCGCTCATTATGTGTTTTAGAGGGCGTCATAGGAGGAAACCCTCCTATGACAGGATACCCATTAATCTCAGCATATATATTATATATATATATATATATTATTATATATATATATATATATAATATATATATATATAATATTTATATTATTATATATATAATATCATATATATATATATATATATTCTTCTTAGTTTTTCCTCTAACAATAGAATGACATATATAGGGAAACCAAAATCCTATCTCTAGCCTAACTTCCTAATTAGAATAAGATTCAAATTCCTAATCATGATGGAACCCAAACTCCTAATCATGATAGATCTCTAACCCTATCTAATTCTTATGAAGTTCTATAAGAATTAAAAATATTATACTAACTTGGAGTTTGAGTTGATACCCAACATATCCTCCCTCGACGAAAAATCTCCAAGTGTCTCAACGGCTTTAGAAAAACTCACTCTCTTCTTCTTGTTTTTCACCTCTCCATTTTGGACAAGAGTCTGAGAAGAGTAATCTACATTATTAACGGATCGCCCATCTAATAGCAAATATGATTGCTATTCTTCCTTCCTCATAAAATCAAATCACCATATCTATACACTTTGCACCATTCTCCTCCACTCATATACTTGTACCCACGTGATGCTATCTCACCCAATGAAATTAAATAGTACCACATGACGGTACATATCTCACATGATGAAGAATTCCGACCTTTCTAGTATGAAGCTTGAGGCGAACACTTCTAACACCTTCAACTTTCATCTTCTCGTTGTTTCCAACAATCATGTCGTCAAATTCTTCATCTGTCTTTAATGTGTTAAAATAATTTTTGTTGTTGCAAACGTGCATAGAGGCTGCAGAATCTAACACCTAAGTGTTACTCGCATCAGTACATGTACTTTGTATCAATAAAGCCACATCTTCATCACACACAACCACCGAGGAGTCCGCCTTCTTCCCATTTTCTTGAAGCTTCATCTGTCTAATACTCTTCAAATCATCACGTATCTGGAAACATCTGAACTGAATCTGACCCTTCTCTCTGTAATAATAGCACTCCTTTTCGCTGTCATCTCGGGCTTGAAATTTTGACCTTCCTCGATAACTGTCATATCTCCTCGTACTTCTCCCTCGATTAGAATCTTTAAAAGCTAGTGCACTCTCACCACCATTAGATGCGCTCTCCTTTTCCATTCTTTCATTCTCACGTAGGAGTGTTGTCACATCGTCGAACTTTAAAGTCTGCTTTTCTGTAATTATCGTCTGAACTAACGGCTTGTACGATTTCGGTAAGGAAGATAATAGGAGTAGCGCCTGCTCTTCTTCTTTAATCTCCTCATCAATATTCATAAGTTGGCAAACTAGCTAATTAAAGGTATTGATGTGGTCTTGAATTGCAGTACATTCTTCCATTTTTAACGAATAAAACTCCATCTCAAACACAATCGGTTGGTCATTGACTTCGACGCATAAATCCCCTCGAGCCTTTCCCACAGCCCTCTTGGTATAGTCTCTTGCATAACATTGTACTTGATCTCGGGGGCGAGTGCCAAACGAATTGTGCTAACCACCCTCTTTTGCATAGAACTCCATTCAGCATTCTTCAATCCTTTAGGTTTCTTATCCTCTAAAGCTTGATCAACACCCTGCTACACAAGAATATATTGAACCGCGTACTGTCATACTGCAAAATTTGTCTTGCTATTGAATAGCAGAATATCAAACTTCAGACCCGAAGAAGTCATCATCCTCTAACCACAATCAAAATTCAAATTAGTCACTATAGAGATTGAATTGGATAAAACTAACATAAAAAATAAACTCATCATGTCGAAAAACCCTAGGAACGACTCCTGGATCACCAAAATCCACCTCCAAATCCTCGATCAAAAGACAAATCAACCCCAATCGTCGGATCTGCGTGAATGGTACCCGCTATAGTATTTCGCAGCTACAGTGCCACGACCACAAATGCTCTTGCAAAATCGCGATGCTCGAATCTTCATGAACCGTCTAACCACACTTTGATACCACTTGTAGGGAATTTTTGGATCTCATAAAAACCCCAAAAACCACCAAACGCAGCAAATAAAATCACACAAAAGTAACGTGAAAAACCCTCAACAGGAAAAACCACGAGATCAAAATCAATTCACTATCACCTCCAAATTACAATCTTTTACACGGATAAAGACTGCTAAGCCCTCCCTCTCTCTTTCTATCTACACTTCTTCTTCTTAGTTTTTCCTCTAACAATAGAAGGACATATATAGAGAAACCAAAACCCTACCTCTAGCCTAACTTCCTAATTAGAATAAGATTCAAACTTCTAATCATGATGGAACACAAACTCCTAATCATGATAGATCTCTAACCCTATCTAATTCTCATGAAGTTCTATAAATAATTAAAAACACTATTAACTTGGAGTTTGATTTGATACCCAACAAAAATTAGGTCATCGATGATCGTAAAGATAATCAATAGACTACAATCAACAATCAGAAAAATCGAGAAACTAGAATTTGCACAACTGATAAACTGCAGTTAACCATCAATGATCTTCAACGGACCATCGATGATCATTTCTTACCATCGATGGTTATGACGCGTTTTGACAGATTTTCAGATATAATTTAAGTTGTTCATTAATTGATTTGATCTTCTATTGAAACTCTGATTAGAGTATATATGTCATATTCTATCAAGGCCTATATAAGAGGAATTGGAGAACATATTTGAGGGGAGATAACAAGAGAGTCAACAAGAAGAGAAAAGGCAATTGCATAATGAGCAGAGATTTTTTTTTCTAGGATTTGAGAGAGAGAGAGAGAGATGATCAAATCCCTCGAGTCTCATTCAACTTCTTCTTGGTGTGCTTTTCATCAGAGTTTGATTCAGCAAGAAGGAGTGTCCTACGCTTACACCGCTATACCGCTTCTTCATAAATCTTCATCTTCATCGATTTGAAGAATGGTTTAATAAAGAGCTGTAAGATTGTTCTTTTTATTTTTAATTGTTTTGATTGGTTGTATTTTAAACATGTGAGTTTGACAAAGTACTCAAGCCGAGGTAATTAAGGGTTGGCATACTCAAGCCAGATTAATTGATGGTTGACCTATTCAAGCCAGGTTAATTGAGGGTTTGGTTAGCTAGGGCTATGTTTCTTTTCGTCATTATGAAGAATTAGATTAGACAATTGATTTCGGGTAGATTTTAGTATGCAACCTTTAAAGCCTACCAAATCGTGTTGTGATTTGGGTGAACTCTGCTCATAGTAAAGAAGACTCTTCGCGAGAAGAAAGAGTGGATGTAGGATTTTGATTCGAACTACTATAAAAATCTCGTGTGTTCCTGTGTTTGTTTGCTTCTAGCTTTTCGTTTATTTTATTTCGGCTACTTATTCTGAGTTAGTCTAAAAATTATAGCAATTCTATTCACCCCTCACTCTATCTCAGTGCAATTTGATTCTACAATTATCAATGGTTTTTCCTTTAAAAAAAAAAAATAATTAGGAAATTTGCATCTGTAGTGGTAACGGGTGAGGAAGAAGATAATAGGGAAAATAAGACTTTAGTCTTTAAATAATAAAAAATAAATAAATGAATAAACCATCTTTCTGGGAGTACCAAGGCCAGAAATTTTGTTTCTTTTTTTGTTTGTTTTTTTTAACAGCCCGGAATCGAACCCATTAAAAAAAAAATTCAATTTTCATAAGTAGTAATTAAAGCCGACGGTACATTTTAGCCCAATTTAACTCCCCAGTTCTCCTTCCATCCCAACTTTCGTTCTTCCTCAAAATGGACCAACGACCAACCCCAATCTCTGACGACCAATCACCCGAATCCCTAACCCTAGATTCCTCCGGACCTCTCCTCCCGCGGCTAGTGGCACTCCGTCACCGACAAGGTCGTCGCCGCCCCCCCCCCCACCCGCCTCTCGACCCCCCACGAGCACCTCGTCTACCTCGCCTTCAACGCCCTGGCCCTCTTCAAACTCCGCAACTTCTCCGCCTCCTCACTCGAGATCCAAACCCTCCTCCCCTTCGACTCCCCCAAATACCGCTACGAAACTTACCCAGAAACGTACCCGAACCGATCCGGATCCATGATCCCGTTCGCGGTGCGGCATCTCTACGCCGAGCTCCCGCAGCGGCTCAACAGTCGCGCTGAGACTGTGGATCGGTTGTATGAGCTTCTTGATTTTGTGAGGGCGAGGGTTCGAGAGGGATCGGAGGAGTCTGAATGTTGGAGGAGGAGGGAGGTTTTCGTTTTGAGCTCGATCTGCTGTAATCATTTTGCTCATAAGGAGTTTGATGTGTGCTTTTCGCTGATTCGGGAGGTTTTGGACTCGGATCCGACGGATCCGGTGCTTATCTCGAAGTTGGGGTATATTCAGCTTCAGACTGGGGATTTGGATGGCGCAAAGGCGTCGTTTTTGAGAGTTGAGGGGTTGAAGAAAGGGGAGTCGGTGGAGTTTGAGAATTTGATAGGGAGGAATAAAGCATTGGAGTTCGTAGTGGCGAAGGACTATGTTTCGGCTGTGAGGGAGTATGAGAAGTGCATTGAGAGGGACCCTGGAGATGTCATTGCTTTGAATAACAAGGCTTTGTGTTTGATGTATTTGAGAGATCTTTCGGATTCGATTAAGCTTCTGGAGGGGGCGCTGGAGAGAGTGCCGACGGCAGCGGTGAACGAAACGGTGGTTGTGAATCTCTGCAGCATGTATGAGTTGGCCTATGTGAATCATGGGGAGATCAAGAAGAGTTTGAGTAATTGGATTGCGAGGGTTGCACCGGATGATTTTGATTCGTCGTGCACTCGGATATGAGAGGTGATTTTGAATTTAGTTTTGTTTTGATGTTTTACATGTTATGAGTTGCATAATAGGATATTTTACATGTTATGAGTTGCATAATATTTGGACCTTAGTGTCATATAAATTAAACTATCTAACCCTATAAATCATGACTAAGCATACCAAGAAACATGGAAATTTCAAAAAACAAGGATGGTTTTTGTCCTACCAAGTTCAGTTTTAAATTATATATATATATATCAAAACCTATATAAGTATAAAGCATACTGTGACTAAACATCTCAAGGATAAAGTTAGCCCTATAGTTAAGATATGTTGTTACTAGAATTTGAATTGGCTGTGTATATGAATTATCTAATAGAAAAGTGCAACAAAATTGAATGTCGAAGGACTGCAGCTACACCGAAACTCTGCAATTATTGTGAGGGTTCTAAGTTACACTTTTATACACAAAAATCCCTATAGTTTGAGCGCCCCTTTTAAGAGCTGATAACTAGACTCACGCAATATCTTTTTATTTTAAAAAATTTGCTTAAATTCGTGATGAATAGGAACTTAACCTGGATTGCTCAAATACCATGTCAAAGGACGATGCCACTACACTAAACTCTAAAGTTATAGTGAGAGTTATAACTTATACTTTAGCAATGAGTAATGACCCACATGTTGTGCGACAACAAGGTCTTAGTAGCATCATATGTTCATAGTACTTCTCTTTTGTGGTCTTGTTGTGTGACAGTGTAAAGTCATAGATATGCATTATTTCTTGATGTATTATCATCTTATGATAGCTGAAGTGGCGGAGCCAGGATTTTGTCTTGCTAGTATCCCCATTATCAAACTAATTTTATTGGTGTCCTACTTAGTAAACACAAGTAAAAGTAGGCAATCCTGGGGTGTGTTATGATAGCAATGAACATCATGTAGATCCGGCGGTTGCTCATATTTTAATATCTGCCTTGTAGTTTGACTTAATTTGAATGGATATGCTACCGCTTGCTCCTCGCTCTTCCTCTTTTGTCAATTAGGGAGCAAATATGCAATTTGTTTAGCAATTAGCAATCTGTTAACGAAATCATCTGAGGAGTGAAGAGTGCATGCCAGCTAACCAGGGCTGCTAAACCATATCCGTTTATGAGGAATATTCATTATCGTATCCGTTAGGATATGAATATGGTTATTCAAATCTATAACCGATAGGATATGGTTACAGATTATCCGGATCCGTATCTAAAATATCCGTATAGATATTAGTCATACTGTTACAATAGTTTTAATCCTTAGATTATGGATTTGAGGTTAATATTGATGTTCAAGATGTCTAATCTTTAGCTTTTCAAATGAACATATTAATGAACTCTTTTGTATCGTATGAACTATATTTTTTTCAATATTATCTAGTTTTCTCATGTCTATTTTGTATCCGCATGCATATCCACTTACATATCCGGATGTATATCCGTATTGGACATCTCCGCATGTATATCTGTATTCGTATGCTATATTAACGGATGTGGATATGAGTTTTCCTCACTGAGGTGTATCCGTATCCGTGATGAGTAAGCGGATATGGATATGGTAAGTATCATATCTGAGTTGTATCCGGACCGAATGCACCCCTAGTGACACCGATGAATAGAGTTATGTAGCCTATTTGTTTGGCAAGTGATTATAAGGCTGTTTGATATACTCTTAGAGGATAAAAGAAGTTGTTAAAGTTGGCCAATCTGTAAACAAAACTGTTATATTGCATAAAATCTATCCTAATCGAAATTTAGGGGTTTCACTTTATTGAAGGGAACAGTTAGTTTGTCTTCACTTTTTTTAGTTTCCAAAATATAAATAAGTTTCTTATTTGGATCCTTGCTTTAGAAACAAGTCTGCCAACCATCCTTCTAATAAAGTCATTTATTTCTTTACTTCCTTTTTCTTTGGCGTATGAGTGGGGGTGGTGTGTAGGCTGAGCACGGTTCGGTTCGGGTCGATTTTTACCAAATTTTGAACAACCGAACCGAACCGAACCACATAATTCAAAACCGAACCGAACCGTTGCAAGGCGGTTCGGTACGGCTCGGTTCGGTTTGTTCGGTTCTAAGTGATGAAGGCAAGCCATGCATCTCGACTAGCTCAGAAATCTTTTCAACAAAAAGGCTCAAGCTGTCAGAAGCCAGTGATAGCACTGATATATACTGACTTTCATAGAAGGTGCACAACTGATCCAAAAACTATACTAAAGTTACATTGTCTAACATTTGAAAATCCTTGGAAATGTAATTAACACGAAATTATCCTGAAAACTTACACCACTAAGCGAAAAAATAATTTGTTCTCATACGCTCAAAAATACAATCTTTTCCCCATTTCCACAGTTAAACAAAGAGATTAAGCAAAATAGAAAATCTGAGAGAAATTTTAAAAAATAAAGTAAAAATAAAAATTTGAACTTGACCCAACTGGAGGCGTCGACGACAGGGGCGATGCCGGAGAAAGCTCTGTTGACGAGTACGGAGAGGAGAGAGATGCCGCCGACGTAAATGGGGAGGCTGCGAACGAGGCCATCGTTGTTGGAGACCCAATCGCTCGCAAGATCTCACTGGGGTTTTGGGCCTTTGTATGAAGAGGAAGAAGATGAAGATGCTAGGGTTTTGATGGAGATCCTGGGCTGAAATGGGGACGGCGGATTGAGGGTTGCTGGAGAGTTAGGTTTAGGTTAGGTTACGGGTGACTTGGGAGTTTATAGTAAGTGAACAATGGGTGAACGGGTCGGGTAACAAAATGGGTATGGATTACTACTTACGGGTCAAAATAAAGGTAAATGTTAATAGCGGTCGGTTTGGTCGGTTCGGGTTGAAAAATTTTCAACCCGAACCGACTTAGAACTAAAACCGAACCGAACCGCTAATTTTCGGTCGGTTTTTTCGGTTTGGACCGAACTGTGCACACCCCTAGTGGTGTGGTTTGGACTTTTGGAAGGTGGTGCGACGATGAACGAGAAGGAAAATTTGGAGCGAATGGAGAAGATAGAGAGAATCTAGAGCTTGGGTTTCCTTTGAAGCCATTCATTTGGTATTACAATGACCTAAGTTGTACTTTGGCCTCATGCGTTAATCCACAACTTTATGGTCTCACACTTTCAAGAACTAGGGTTCCACAATCCACACTCATTAGATCATACACCTTAAATAAACGTAATATTTTTCCATAAACATTTTCATAACTACTAAAAAAAGCGAAAAACTAGTTCCTTGTAAACTACAAACTTAATCACTAAAAAACTAATACTTGAAGAAAGAAGGCTAACTAGTAACTACACCAAAATAAAACGTTCATATTAATTAGCTTTTAAGAAGATTCCTAAATCATTTAAATTTTCTGCTAAATAATTCTCTCTTAAATGATGCTACAAGATAATTTCTTGTAAAACAAAAATCTAGTACGAAAAGAAGTCTCGACCATTATTTTCTTTATATGTTTCTTTATTGTTTCTAAAAGACCTAGCAAATCTTTCCTGGTCGGAGTAAACTCAACATTGAGTTTGGAATTGGATATTCCGGAGAACTTTAAATCGTTGTCATGGACTCGAAGTTGACTCAAACTTTGTTTTTGTTGAACCTGCATAAAAACCAAAAAAAAAAAGTAATTTGGACTGATGTTGATGTTATACCAAATGGTTGGGACACAGGTAAAGAATAACAAGCAGGTGGCGATGGGAACAAGAAGGGAATTACAAGAAAATTCTAGTAAAATTATATCTGTTTTCTTGTATAGCCTTAAAATTATTTTCTTGTAATTCCCTTTCTCTGTTTTTCCTTTATACGTTATCTTCTTATTTTCAAATTGAAGTCGTCATACATCAGCATGTTTCTAGACTGGACTGCCAAATGTTGCACCGTCTTAATTTACTTTATTCCTCTTTCTGTATAATTCATTTTCCTTGTGTATATTTGCAGCCTTATCCAGCTGGAGAAAGAAATCAAACAAACTTATTTTGAGGTGTTCGAATTTGAGCAGAGAAGAACATGCTATCATGTTCCACGACAGCTGGATTAGTCCCAAGGGCAAAGTATCTATTTTACTTGATCGAAGAGAAACACGACGAATCAAAATAATTTTTTCCGATGCTTAAAGAGATGTGTTTATATTGAACATGGAAATGTACAATGTATTTAAAGGTTTGAGAAATTCTTCAAATAGGAGAAATACTCTAAAACTTTTCAAATTATTAAAGGAATTCCGAAATCATAACGTATTTTAGACTTAGTCACTTCTGGCGCCTTCGGACAAGTAATTTCTGTTGCCAATGTATGTTGTGTAATAGTAGCGTTCTTGATGTTGTTTTCATCTTAAGCTTATTTTCATTTCAGTTGTTTGATTGCCACAGAGCACAGCCTTCAACTATAGATGGCATTCGAGTAGACGCGTGGTCATTTCTATTTTATATTCTAGGAGTTCAGTATACATTATAAATTGCCACAGTGCGTTGTAAGATATGATGTTTTTTTTTTTTGAAGTGATTAAATGAATGATGTCTTTTTCTTTTTGATTTTCTATATTTTATTTTAAGTTGTCGTGTATATGATGTGTTTTTGTACCAAATGCTTAACTCGGTCTTTATCTCTTTTTTCATACTAATGTCATGGCATTAGATGGAAGTTTATCCTATAAACCTAAAGCTTGCTCTTCGTTTCATTTTAAACTCGCTCGTCTCCTAACAATAATTTTTTGCCTAAAATCCTAAAGTCTTGCATTCGTTTATTTTTTTTAACCTATCCATTTTCAAAACCAATGTTAAACACAAAGTACTCAACTCAACCGGATTGTTTTTAAACCTTCTTTAGTTTCAATATTTTGATAACCAGTGTATGTTACTCGCTATATTTTTTATTCTAAGTAGTTAGCTATATGTGATATACTTTTTTTTTTAAACTTAAATTACTTTTATGATAGTTTTCGCACTGCTACTGCAGCATCGGACGGATCAATGTTGCCAGTTGCTTCTAAGAAATTTGTTGCTAGCACGCTTGTAGCTCTTTATTTTTACTACATTTTGGCCCAACTCACCTCTCTCTCATGGTTTCCATCCCAGTCCAGCCCAGCCCAATTCACACACTCTCTCACTCTCTCTCTCTCCCCAACTTCTCTTCTCTGCCCTTCCTCTCTCAGATCTCGATCTCGATCTCAAACCCCTCTCTCTCTCTAATGGCGACGGCCTCCCCTCTCCAGCGCTCCCCGACCTTCAGGGACCCGGATCCGAACCCAACCTAAGTCGACCCCCTCGAATCGCCTCGCCGTCCACCCTCTCTCCCCCTTCCTCTTCCCCCGACTTCTCCTCCGCCGTCTCTCCTCCGCCGCCCTCTCCGCCTGCTCCTCCGCTCCACCGCCGAGTCCCTCCACGACGCCATCCGCCCTCCTCACCGCCACCTCGCGCGACCAGGTCCTCTCCGCCACGACTCCTCCTCTCCCCCACCTCCACCTCCGCCAACTCCACTCCCTCCTCTCCACCCTCGTCCTCGCTCTCTCCCTCCGCTCCTCCCTCCGCCACCTACGCTCGACCTCTCCGAGCCCGCCAACCTCCTCTCCCAGCACACCGCCCCAGCCTCTCCAACCTCCACTCTGCCGCCGACCTGATCCACAGCGCTTTCCCGCCTCCTCAAGCTCTCCGTCCCCGAAGCTACGGTTCCCTGGTGTCGTCGGCGGCGGCGCCAATTCAAGACTTTGGACCTCGCCAAGGCCCGCGAGATGCCACCGGGAGATCGAGACGCTTTACAGAGGAGCGCGGCGGCTCTCCGGCTGCATCTCTGTCGTGGCGGAGGAGCATCCGGTGCTTTCTGAGACGGGCGACGGCGGGTCGGGCCATTAGGCGGTCGAGAAGGGGTCATGGTATGAGGATTGAACCAGAATGACATCTTGGTGCGCGGCTTCTATGTATTCTACAATCTGGGATGGGAGCTCGAGGCTCTACGGTTGATGCGCTGCGTTAATAAGTACAAGGGATTGGGGTCAAGGCAGCGTTGGTGTCCGCGTCTGGACATGAAAGCCATATTCATTCGGCTGCTTCGGGCGCCGGAGGGTGCTGTGGGTTGCGTGCTGCGGCCCGGGCGTTCAAACAGGAGCGGGACCCCGCTCCAGATTGCGGCTGGGAAGAGGCGGGCCGAGCGCGCTGTGGGAATGAAAGGAAATGCGGGGGAGGGTTGTATGGATGAGCTGCATAAGGTAATGATGGCGGTCTGGCAGTTGCAGACGTTTTGTCGAAAAAGCGAGTTCCTTTCACGCAGGTTTTGTTCCTTCATGAGGTTTGGCAAGAGGGTGATCCTCTGCTTACTGATCGTGTTTGGGAAGCGCTTGTGAAGGCTTTTGCTTCCCAAATGAAGTCGGTGTACACCGCCTCGAGTTTCGTTAAGGAGATTTTTACTCATGGGTACCCGAAGTTGTTTACAATGGTTGAGAATCTTATTGATAGGGTGTCGAGGGATACCGAGGTGAAAGGGGTTCTTCCTGCGATTAGTTCTGAAGGAAAGGATCAAATGGTGGCAGCCATTGATATTTTTCAAACTGCTTATCTTGCTCAGTGTTTGAGTAGGTTATCTGATTACGTTAACAATGTGTTCCCGATGGCTAGTATATCCAGTAGAGGCATAATTCCATCGAAAGATCAGATTTCGAAGATTGTGTTGAGGATTCAGGAGGAGATTGAGGTGGTTAAGCTTCATGGGCATTTGATGCTTCTTGTGTTGCATGAGATTCGAAAGGTTTTGATGTTGTTGGCTGAGAGAGCTGAGTACCAAGTATCCACTGGTTCTGAGTCTAAGCAGGTTACTGGTTCTGCAACTGCTGCTCAGATCAAGAACTTTGCTCTCTGCCAACATTTGCAGGAGATTCATACTAGACTTAGTGCTACTGCGTCCTCTCTTCCTGCTGTTGCTGCTGATGTATTGTCTTCTCCTCTCAGTGTGATCTATGGTGTTGCTTGTGAATCAGTAACCACTCTGTTTCAGGCAATGCTTGAGCGTCTTGAGTCTTGCATCCTTCAAATGCACACACAGGACTTTTCGGGTCATGGAATGGATGCTGGAATGGACAACAATGCATCGGCTTATATGGATGAGCTTCAGAAGTCTACAATACACTTTAGGAATGAGTTCTTGTCGAAGCTGCTGCCTTCTTCCTCAGCTTCTCGGTCTGAGACTATTTGTACCCAGCTTGTTCGGAGAATGGCTTCTCGGGTCTTGATTTTCTTTATCAGACATGCTGCGTTGGTGAGGCCTTTGTCTGAATCTGGCAAGCTGAGGATGGCTAGGGACATGGCTGAGCTTGAACTTGCAGTGGGTCAGAACTTGTTCCCAGTTGAGCAGCTCGGTGCACCTTACAGAGCTCTTCGTGCCTTCCGCCCTGTAATCTTCTTGGAAACTTCGCAATTGGCTGGGTCTCCTCTGCTACAAGATTTGCCTCCAAGCATTATACTACACCATCTGTACTCTAGGGGACCTGATGAGTTGCAGTCACCCATGCAGAGGAATAAGCTCACACCTCTTCAGTACTCTCTGTGGCTGGATTCACAAGGGGAGGATCAGATTTGGAAGGGAATTAAAGCAACACTAGATGATTATGAGATGAAAGTTAGGGCTCGAGGAGATAAGGAGTATAGTCCAGTATATCTTCTTATGCTGCAGATCGGGTCCTCATTGGCTGATTCTGCTTCGTCTCAATAATGATACAAAGGTATGTTTGTTCTTTTGGATACAATCATTGTCTGCGTCTTATTTTATTGGTAAACAGAAGCTGAGTTTTGGTATTTGGAGTCAGGTTGCTTGTTGATATATAAATGTTTGTGGAAATAGATTTACAAATCACACTGTAAGACTCTTCGTGAATTAGATTTTCTTTATTGTAAACATTTGGTCAGATTGTGGCTCATATTGCTTACAAGTTTGTCTTGTTGTCTTAGTTTGTGCGAATTGTTACCTCCCATCATGGATAATGAAGCTGCCTCATGCATTATGTGTTTCTTCATAATAGTTGTATGAATAACAAAGTAGTTTTACTTGTTTTGACATTTTATAGTTCTAGTTATGTTGCTAGTTTGTGTAGCACGACTTCCAAGTTCTTTCTTCTTGTTTGACTAAAATAACCTCTTGTACTTGAAACTGTTGGTAATTCACTAATAGATGGCTGCCTCTAGTTTTGGGGAAAAAACTTGTTATTAGAAAAGTGCAGTGACACTAAAGATTCTCCCGATATTATTCAAGGGCACAACAACCATCAATTTCACCAATTTCCATGCACCTCTAGCAGCCAGTAGCAGCATCTGCAATCCCTTTTATGTTGTACTCAGATTACATAAACATAGCTTTGCTTCTGAAGTAATACATTTAACTAATATAAACATATATATAGGGTTAGGGGTGCACAAAAATATCCATATGCGAGAAAATATATGTACCCTTATCTGTTAGGATGCAAATATGGATGCTATAATTTATATCCATATGGTGACGGATATAGCTATGTAGTGAAATAACCGTATCTGTATCTGAAATATCCGAATATATGTTAGTCATATAGTTGCAAGAGTTTTAACCCTTGGATTAATGGATTTGAGACTAATTGTGATGATTAAGAGATCTAATCTTAGATTTTTAGATATAATGAACATATTAATGAACTCTCTTCCATCATATGAACTCTTTAGCAAGGCATATCCATATCTGTATGAGATATTGGTTAGCGGATACAAATACGGTAAGTCTCATATCCGACCGTCATATCTGACCGTGTGAACCCTTATATAGGGTTATTATTCATATGTGAATGAACATTCTAATAGAATGATCTGTAATAGATTAGCTTTTGTCAAAGATGGAAAACATACTTCACCTTGTACACGTTCTAAAAGTGGGCTGTGGGGCAAGATTATCGATAGCGGATGGCATCGTGTAGTGGTGAGGTATCGCTAAGGCTATTTGGGGCTATTGTGGCAAAATAGCGATAAAAAACGTAAAATCAAATAACGGTCTAATTTAAATATGTATAAATATTAAAAAGATAAGAAAAATTATAGAAAAGTTTAGAAAATCTAAAAGTGCATTTGATGATTTAAAGAGATCCTAAACATGAAATAGACATGTAACCGTCACATAATACTGAATACAACTGGAGGAGTCAAAGAGTCATCATCTTCGAAAAGATGAGCTAAGCGGTGAGAGGACTGCAGTAGGAGGAGCTCACGACGAGAGGGGGTGAGAGGAAGTGCTAAGGGAGGTGTCAGAGGCTATGGGAGGCCGCGGGAGTACGCGCAATAGGATGTAGTTGTTGCGAGTCGGGTTTAATTTAAAAAAAAAAATCTCAAACCGCATTTAAATAGCGATCAAAAAGCGGATCTTGCCCGTAATCGCCCGCTATTCACTGCTGTGACGCGCTATTGGCCGCTTTTACAAGCGAAAAACGCATATTCCGTAATATGTCACCGCTATTGGGCGATAGCGTAGTAGGAATGGACCGCGAACGCTATTAGCGTAGCTATTGCGGGACTATTTACCGTTATTTATAACAGTGTTGTGGGTGAATCATGATTTCCATGTGGTAGTGTTATACACACATAGAGACACATATTGTATTAGAGACACCTACTTTTTGTCTACACAAGTGACCTATAAATTGTAGCCCTCTGAGAATAGAGTTCATTTGTAATTTGCTAAATATTTGATCCATACCACTATTTTTAATTAATTTCCTATTGTGACCAATATTTTGATGGAGTACAAATGTAACAGATAACTAAAATGAGTTAGGATGTGCGTAATATAGCTTTAATAAGCTTTCTTTCACCAAGTTATTTTGTTAAAAGAAGAGTAGGGGAGCTCTTTTTTGTTGGTGAGTGTTGTGTGCATCTGTATGTGTGTGTTGGGGGCGGGCTTCTTTTATCCCTTTGTATCTGTAAAAGAGGGTGACAAAGCTGATTCAGACAAGTAACTACATAATATCACTACTGCTAGAAAAGAAATGTTGAAACAGATGCAATCTTGTGAAGTTAATGATAAAGCACATTGAGATAAATTGTGGGCGAATTATATGCAATGATTGCATTTGAGGTTGGTTTAATTGCCAAAAAAAGGTTGATTTTGCAGTTGATATTTACCACATTTCTCTCTAGAAATTGTAGTTACTTCTGTCTAAGAAGCACCGACTCGTGAAAACTCCCCCCGTCCCCGTGTCCGACGCTTGTCGGGGACGGACACGCGTTCGACACGCGTTCGACACGCGTCGGACACGGCGTCAACGGCGTCGACATGGTCAGCTCTAGTCGACACGGCGAAGTCGAGGGCGACACGACGAAGTTGAGGGCGACACGGCGAAACCAGACTTTGAAACCCAAACCCGAAACCCAAACCCGAAACCCAATTTCAAACAGAAACCCAAACCCTAACCTTAGTCGTGAGAAAACTTACCCGATTTCTCGTCGAAAGGGCTCTTGCGAAGTGAAGAGGCGCCGCCAGCTCTCAGCTCTCAGTCTCCTCCTCGTCGTCGTCAGCTTCGTCATTGTCCTCGTCGTCGTCGTCATCATCAGCTCCAAGGTCAGTCCCCCTCTCTCTCTCCCCCCGATCGATCTCTCCCTTTCTCTCTCTCTCTTATCTCTTTCTCTCTCTCTCTTATCTCTTTCTCTCCCTCATTTATCTCTTTCACACTCTCACCACAAAAAAACCCCCACAACTTTCCCGTTTCACAAAAAACCCCCAACA